TGCTGGGGTGGGTTAGGATTTCTGCCTGCCTTTCTGTTCTTTTGTTTCCTTCTCTCCCAAGAGCTTTGGAAGTCTGAGCTTCATCCTGGTGTGGAAGAGGGGGAAAAAAGCAAAACCCTTTGTGGGACAGGACATTGTGGTGCCCATCTTGTGGGTGTGCATGACTGTCTCAGAGAGATGTGTAGGGAAAGCAGAGCCAGGAGCAGATGTCTCCATGGCCTGTGGTGAGGGGAGTGAGGGTGTGTGCGAGGGGCTGGCGAATTCCTGCCTTCACAAAGACACCCCAACTGGAATTTATGAGAATCCATCCACAATAAAACGCTTTTAACTCGCTGTCTGGCCGTCAGCCGGCTGCATCCCAGGAACGGTGGCATGAGGATGAAGCTGCCACATCGCACATTCCTTGCTATCACCGCAGCTTCTCTCTTGATGAAACAAAATCTCCCCTTGTCTGACAGTTCTGAGAACTGAAGCAAGAAAACCTCAGTGATGTTGCTGTGCTTGGAAGCCTGTGCAAAGCATGGCAGTCTTCTGAGCAAAACTTTTCCATTGCTTGTGCTGCAAAGTCAGGATGCAAATAATAAATTGGCAGACTGGGATTTCAGAAGATTCTGCACATATCTGAGGGAACAGAGATGTTACCGCAAGATTGCTGAAAAAAATGAGATTGATGATTTCGTTGTCTGGACAATGTGTATCATCAGCAAAGGCATACAGCAAGGGCAAGTTCCTCCCTGGCCCTGTGGAAGCCTGTGGGGAGGCTTGATGGGAACTCAGTCCAAACATTGATGGTGTTACGCTGGCAGATCAGGGGCAGAGGCATTACTGCCCTCTGCCCCGCCTGACCTGTGCAGTTTTAAGCCTGGGACTTATAAAAATAATATATTGCAGGACATTGTGGTGTTAATGTCATTTTTCTGACCAGATCCACTCAATAGCCCTAACAAATCCCAGTGATGAGTCACTTTTCAATGGTCAGTGCCAGCACAGAGTGACACTGCAGACCACAAGGCAGAGAGAGAAATGCTGAGACAGCCTAATGGAGCATCCAGCTCAGTCCAAACAACTTACATGTTTTGTTTTGTTCTTTTAATTCTTGGAAAGAATTAGAAAAGGATGGCAAATTTCACCAGAAGTGAAAGAAACCACAGAGGTCTTTGTCTGTGGATTAAGCGTTTTCAAGAACTAGCAAGAATAAAGGTTTTCCTGTTTTCACTGCTTTCTGTACCTTAGGACCAAGCCACATAGGATATTTGTTGAGACTCCAAAGTTTTCTTATTTGGACTTGGTTGATTTAGAGAACTTGTTTTGCAGGACTGCACATCCCAGGGAAGGAAATTAAGGTCAGAGATGGGAAAAACCCACCTAAGGGCCTGAAATAATTTTCATTTTTCCAAGACCACCCTGTGTGGGAATGATACATTTAAAAATGGGTGGAACCTCTAAGCCTGGAATTGTATCAAGTTATTCATGAAAAATCTCTGAGATCTTTGTGTGGACCAAGATATTTGGGTGGCACTTTCTCACTCTTTCTTTAGAAAAGGCGCTGTGGCCTCACAAACTGAAAACTAGCCTTGCTTTTTCCCTGACTTTAAAAATAACTATGTATCTTGAAAAGCTGTCTCAGCAGTAGTGAAGGAATGGAAAAAAAAGTCCATTATATCCCCATGGTTTCATACAGTGCAGCTGTGCTAACAGAGTGCACCGAGACTGAGACCAGGGGAAAGGCATGAAATAGTCCATGAAATGAGCAGTTGAATTTAACAGTAAAGCTTCACGTAATGCAGAGCTCGACTGTCCAGGTATCCGATTGCAGATGGCAGGTTTTTGCCTTTATTTCTCAGGGGGAAAATCCAGAATATAAATAAAATCTAGCACTTAACTATTATTTGTATTAACGCTTTTTTGCTTTTTTTTTTTACTGAAATCAATGGGGAAATTATCATCCTATAGGAAATCTTTCTTACATTAAATTAACATTGTTAAATATTCTTGCAATATATTTGGATGAAGTATCCATATTCTGTTTTGATTTTCCTTCTGGCAGAATGTCTGTAGGATGACAGTCCTATCTGAAAAAAAACCAGGTTCATAATGAATTAGTCATATTTTTATAGTATTTGTTGTTTATTTTTATTGTAGTTATTATTTTGTATATAATATAGTATAATCATTGTAACTGATTTATTAAATCAGTTTAAAACTATCTTTGTTTTATTTTAGAGGAGCAAGCATGCATCAACATACAGCTTTCAAAAGTCCCTCGTAGGTCTTAGTGCAATTATTAGCAGTTACTAATAATTTAAAAAATATTTGTGCAGGCATAATGGAACGAATATCAACTCAATGTAATATGCAGTTGCCACAGGGATGTATTCCCCCTGACTCAACTCTAACATGCTGGTGGTTAGTTTATAACCCTCTTTAGGTTACAGCATTTTAACGTTTCTCCAGTGTTTATTTATTCTCTTCCCAAAGAATGTTCTGAAATATCAAGTTTACAACCTGTGGCTCATGTGATGGTAGTGGAAACAATTAAGGCAGAAACTTTCAAAGCCACCACTGGGATTTTGATGCCCAAAGTCATTAATTTTAATAAGAAGGGAGCTGCCAGTCGTCTTAAGTGGTTTGTAAAATCTCAACCCATAAAAACACCTCTCTATTGGTTCCAGTTTACAGGGAGCTCAGAGCAAGGTAAACACATGTAAGAAAATAGTAGGTGTTAAAAGGTGGAAAGTACATGTTCAGATATCCTAAGACCACTCAAGGAATCAAAGGAGCAGCCCCAGCCTTGAGCTGGCACAGGGGGGCTGCTCCTGCCTGCAGCATCCCAGGGAGTTGCTGACTGATCAGAGCACGAGGCACAGAGAAGGAAGTCAATGGAAACAGAAAGTTTGGCTACAGCTCAGTTCCAGTGGCTTCCTGCCACCCATTGGTCTCTGCTGCCATCTCAGGACCCACATGGTGTCTGTAGGTGCTTGGTCCAGGTCCTTCCTACCTGCCTAAACTCTCCTGTCCAAGTTCACACTCTTATCCTCCAAGCTGCTAAATGGCTGCATTCGGATGTTGATACTTTGCTGATCCACCATCGTGGTTGGATAAAAATTAAGAACTGTCTGCTGTGGCCTATGAGACCACCCCAGTGCAAACCTGTGAGCGCTTCTTACTGAGTCAGGACATGGCTTTGTTTAAGCCACAAGCCTGTGCCATAGCTGAGGAATTCTTAAAGGCTTTGGAGAGCGCCAAGAACTCTCAAAGGAAACTGCTGCACTGGGGAACTTCCACCCTCAACATGAAACGTGAAAGAAAGTCTTAATGGGGAAAAAATTTAGAACCGGCAGATCTATCTGTGATATAAAATAGAGCATGGAGTAAGCATGAATGAGTTTGGAAGGGACTCACTGGGAGTCTGAATGGTTGGGAAAAGAAGAAAGAAAAGGGGTTTTCTTGTGTGTTTTATTAATAAAGGAACCATGAAGAATTTCAGAATTAGTTCTAGAAAACTTTCTTTTTTTGCTCTATCTGCTGTATGATCTCTGAAGAACTTCATGGATGTTGGCTACAAGTGACAAAGTTGTAGTGTGGTGTTTGCCAGTGAGTCTCATAGTAACAATAATTAATTATCAGTAGGTATTGGAAAGACTTTTGGATGAAACACAATGCAGTGGAAATAGAGGTGACCATGAAGACTGGTATTGTAACAGACTTCAAGAAAGTCAAAAAGAAAAAAAGCTTTCATTAGTAGTAGATGTGACTTTTTTGGAAGAGAACAAAATGTTCCATAAATGAAACATGTGGTTTCACTTGCGGCACATTTTGTACATTGTCACCAATGAAGTTTAGGATTTTTTATTACTTTTTCATTAAAATGTCTTACTGGTTTCACTCAGGAGGCAAAATTTTTCACGTGGCTTTAATTGTTTCTGTCATAAAAGTCATAGCATCCATGTAATAGAAATAGTTTTGCAGACCACAGCTTCATATTGCCTATTAATTCTCTCCCATTTTCTGTATGTACAACTCATTGGCCCATCCCAGGGACAGGAAAATTTCTTGCAATTAAGACTCAATATGAACTTCCACTGAAGTTAGGGGGGAAAAATAACTTTATGTCAGTCCTGGTTTATTAGTTTTTTTGTTTCAGCTATCTTAACTCACAATAAGTTCACATGGCTGCATACCAAAGGAGAGAGTTTATATTGACTTTCTTCTAAAATCAGTGAAACTCTAGAAGATGAAAATAAAAGGTCTTTTCTGCATCATTCCAGTCATGTACAAGAGATGGTAATACTTCAGACAGGATTGAAGAGCTCTGGCAGAATTGTTTCAAGGAGGCTTTGGACAGGTCATTTCCCCCTTTTTTCTTCGTTACCTGCTGGAGTTCTGGTCTCACATATCCCATCCCAGCTGCCAAGCTTCTATGCTTCCATGTGTCTGTCATCAGCCTAGGTGTCCTTGTCCCCAGTCCTGACTGGATGAGGAAATACAATTCTTGTTGCAGTTAAAACAAAACAAAACAAAACAAAACAAAACAAAACAAAACAAAAAAAAAAAACAAAACAAAAAAAAAAAACACCAAAAAGACTTCTATTATCTCATTAATTTAAGATCATCTTCTCTCATTAATTTAAGATCACCTTCTCTTCCGGTATCTGTTTTCCTGTAAGAGTCAATTACCATCTTGGAGAGGGTTTTGTCATTCGACCTTCAGCCCAGCAGGGGAGGCAACCCCTACCACAGATGAAGGCCTCTAAGAAGTCATTAAGATGCCAGAACACAGCAACAGAGTATCTGTTGCCTTTTCCCTGTTTTTCAGTTAAATGTTTACTTGAAAGCTTCCTATGAAATGCCAGTGCTGTCTTTACTTGCTGCTCCAGAGCAAAAGCCTTGTGCACCTTCTCAGCAGTCAGGGGCACCCACCAAGCAGTGTGGTCTTCTGCTTTCACCTTTGTTTTGGCACCCTTCCTCCTTTACGCATATTTAAATGTTGTGTTTTGCAGTTCAAGGACGACAAAGACAAGCCCAGCCTTGGAGGGACTCTCAGTGACAGCCCTGCCCCCTGTCCAGCTTTCTGAGCAGGTCCCACTGGCATCTCCTTCCCTGAAGCCACAGCAGATGGAAGAAGAAGACAGCCTGTCTCCTCACCTCTTGTTGCCCGACAGCATCAGCCAGCTGGAGGAGTTTGGCAGGCAGAAGAAATGGCACAAGAAGCAGCACAAACACCATCGCCAGAGGCAGTTCAATGACCTCTGGGTTCGGATAGAAGACAGGTGAGTCATGACTGCTGTGGTCCCTGTCCTCTTCCTGCTGGCTCCTAACTTGATGCTCTTTGCAGATCCCAGCTCTTGCTGCTTAGACCATAGGGATAAAGGCTGACTGGGAGACACAGTTTATGTTTTTGTAGCCTAATGGAGAGCTAGGAGGAAAATAAGTGTGTTCATAGGCATGTTTGATCAAAAAGTAAATAAGAAAAAAAGAGTTAATGCTTAAAATATTTAAAATACACAGAAACAAAGACTTGTCAGAGTGAAAAGCAGGAAAAGAACAACAATAGAAAATACTCTGTGCTTGTCCTTTTTCTTCCAATAATTCTTTTCCTATCTGTACCAGCAGTTTTCATCACAAAGGCTTGCCCATTTTCTGACCATACAGAATATTCCTGAGAGTTTTTAAGATTCTGAAAAATCTGACTTTCAGCCTTCTTAACTATGTTGTGGGGCTGAAATGTTTTAACATCTCAGACTGCTCTGAAAATAGCAAACTGAAGCAAAATGAAGCACTTAACTAAATCCTCTGTGTGAAGAGGATGGAGGCAGGCACTTTTCCATGGCTATTCCAATCTTGGTCTGAGGTTAAAAACTCCCATTCAATGTTTGAATAAGAGCCTTCGTGTTTGACCAGGGCTTCTCAATGTGTGCTTTTAGGATTCCTGGGCAATTTATTCTCCCACCTCTAAAGCTCTTAGTGCCTTTATCCAGGCCAAATCATGGGCAGATAAACAGCCACAATGTTTAATATCTTCTAGCAAGTAAAAGGAACTAAGTAATATGTTGGGAACTAGCTGCTCACCTACACATATCATAATTATCTTTGAGCATTACATATTCCCATTTTCATAGCACTTAAATTCCTTGAAAGTCTCTCTGAGATTTCTCCCTTTGCTAAGAAAAAAAGCTTCACATATTTGTGTTTTCAGATTTTTATTATTATTACTATTATTTTTTTCATTCTTTTTAATGGAGCAGTTACCTCATTTTTTGTAGTTTATTGTTTTCTCAGGGTGAATGATGTAAGGGATGCTGTTAAGGTGGTGCATATTAATCTTAATTTAATAGAGCTGTTTCTGAGGTCAGTGCCAGCCTTGTAAGAAGGATTCATGTATTTTCTTTTCAAAGTGTGTTCAGTGCTTGGATCCCCTCCACAGAGGATGTTTAAGCATGAACTAGGTGGCATTTGGTTCACCACACACAGCTGATTGCCTCAAATACAAGGGATTTTTCTGTCCTGACTGGGGGCTGCTGACTTGTGGTGTCCCATGCTGTCCCAGCATTTCACAAGGGTCTGTGGTCCAGTTTCTCATGTGTTGTACAAGTGAGGTGTTTAAATAGGTCTGGTGGGAGCATGGCACTTGGGCACAATCCTTCTACCCCTATCCTATCTATCCAGAAAGGATATTGGATATTGGCAGTGGAAATGTGCAGTTGGGAGCTTAAAGTGGTGCTTATGATTTTTAAGCCTTTTGCTGGTTTTATGAAATGTTCCTAGGAAAGGGATTTAAGAGGTAGTTCTGAGGGTTAGAGTTAAATTATTTGCTCTGTGCGCCTGTGAGATTTCACCTGAATCAAAGCCTTTTATCCCTCTATTTCCATTTCATAAGGGTGGAGATTGGGGTGAGGAAACACAAGTTTCCGCTCCCACCACGCTGGTGATGAACCAGACACTGTGTGTTGCCTGCCTTGCTGAAAGATCCCAGGGAGATATTAGTGGGAGATCACAGGCATAGAAATGAAGAAAGGCTGGAAGAAGGGAAGCCTGCCTTAGTGCTTTCAGATGGTTTTAGTACTTCTACAGTTCTGGAGTAACTTCTGGTGTTTTCCTGGAAACAAAGCAAAACAAAACACAAAAAATACAAGTTCACTAAATCAGGGACTCACAACCAGCTCTGGTTTTCCCATAAATTGGATGGGGTCTCAACTTTCATAAACCAGCTGCTGCATATTGTGCTTTTGGCAGTTGGGTTTCATCAGCATTAATTGCAAGCTGGACCCTGCACAAAGCAATAAACAGTGAGTTCTCTCCAACTGGATCCTTTCTGATTGGCAAGAAAAGAGCAGACATGTGTGTCTGTGACCAGACCTTGTACGGTGATCATTTCTGGGAGGAAACAAGCAGGGTGGCTGATCATACAGGCAATAGAGTGTTACCTGTGCAGGAGAGAAACATGGACTTCTTTTCATTGCCTCAATAATTGAGACTTAGCACTCGTTTTTGAAGGGTAATTGGTGTAGTAGGGAGTTCTCACTCTGGCCTGTCCCAAAAACCCATTGTGCATTTGCCTATACTTCAAGTGGAGCCCCCCATGTTCTGTATGGACTGAGGTCTCTGCATTTGGTATTAACTTGAGCTATGGGCCCCTATTTCCAAATGGCTGTTCTTCCAGTTCCCTGACTCACCAATTGTCACCTGAAACTTGAAGTGTTCACCTTTGAGACAAAGTAGAGGGATTTAGGTCTTTGTTACAGCTTTCAGGGGAAAGCTGCATAAAACTCATTGTTTCCATGCGAGGTGCCCAGGATTCAGCTGTTGGAGCTGCCTTTCAACCTGAAAAGTCAAAGAAAAATATGCAGGTGGAGGACAAATCCAGGCAAATTTAAACCAGGTTATTGATTCCTGTATGAACCTCATTGAACTGTGAAATGACTCTGGTTCATACAGCTCTTTTCCAAAGCTTTATTGACCATGGATTAGAGGACTTTATGAGCCATGAATTGCAGGGCTTTTATGGACTACGCATTTCTAGGCGATCTCATACTCTTCCATGGAAATCTTAGGGTGTTTTCTTAAGCTACCAATACAGAAACAAAGGAAATGAACACAGGAGAACAATCTTAAAGGAACATCAAAGGTCTGACGCCAACCTATAAAAGCCAGGAAATCCATAATTAATGGTTCCACTAAGACTTCAGCTCTCACAGTCATTCGGGTCTGATCCAAGGTTATGGCTACAATCTGAAATGGCCTCATGAAAAATGAGTCATCATTTAATGCCACACATCATTATTAGTATTTACTTTCAGTTGTACCTTGGAGATTGTCCTTTTCTTTTTGTTCTGTCTTCACAGCTGAAGCATTTGAGTTGGCACCCCTGGGTGGACAGTGTTTAGATTTGTGTGTTGGAGGTTTAGTACTGCTGTGGAGGATGAGAAAGCTTCTGCTCTGTCTCCTCCCTGTCTTTGACAGAGCTAAGATTTGCTGATCTCCTGGGTAATTGGCTGCACTGAAGACTATTAAAAAATAAAAAATGCTGATGAAATGTGTGGTTTCCTCTCCCTTCTGCCTCCTTCCCCCAAAATCTAAACAAACTGAAAAAGTCCTGCCCGACTGCAGTTTCTGTTTGAAATTGCTTGTCAAGAATCAAAATTGAATGGAGATTTCAAGTAGCAAGATTTTTTCTTCAACTACTTGATTTTGCAGAAATGTGCAGATCTGAAGTCTGTCCTTGGGAGAAATTTGAACTTAGACAAGACTCAAACCCTGGCTACCTCCCATAGCCAAAATCCAGCTGGGGCAGCAGGGAGGGGAGACAAAACCCTCAGGCTGCAGGGCTGCAGTTTGGCACACAGAGTATCATTGTTTCTGTTGACACTGTGTTAGCTGGGCTTTCCCATGTAATATAAATAATTAATTACAGATCATTCACTGGCTTTTCATGATGAGATGCTCAGTTAATTGAAAGAACAGAGAAATGCCTGTGAGGTTTCAGAGCGGTCAGTGAAGGGCAGGTCAGGATTGCACCTTTGCTGTGGCAGGCAAATGGTTCAAGGCTGCCAACAAAACCAGTCCAGAACAGAGAATCTCTTCCAGCTGCTGGGGGGAGTTATCCTGGGACCCAAGGCAAGGAGGGAGGAAAGCTCCTGGGAAAAAGGAGAGAGGGGAGTTATTAACTGGGAGGGCATTATGCGAGGGGTGAGTTTTGGAAGGAGCAATGGCAGCTAGAGGATGTGAAAGAGAGAAGTACAGTGGTGGGAAGAAAAAAGTAGAAACGATGCAATGAGCAAGTTAATTCCCACTGCCAAGGAAGAGATCTGGGTGAAGGTGCTGTTTGGAAAGAGGGTAAGGATACACACGCTTCAACAGGAAAGAAATTAAGGGCAAAGAATGGTTCTCAGAAGAGAAAAAAAATTCTCATCCCAGATGTAAGCTCAGCCCTGCAAAAGCTACCATAAGTGGGAAATGAAATGAATTCTCCCTGTAAGTAGAAATGGCAGTTCTCTGATAGCCCAGTGCAGACTGTTCAACCCCAGATGAATGCAATAACATCACAAATATCAATTTATTTTGGAAGAAGCAGTTGTTTTAGGAGGAAAAAATGTATAGCAGTGATGGATGAAGGGAGACAATACGTAATAAACTACACTGAGTTTGCCTGTACAGAGTGAACCTTATCAGTTTGGATGGAATTTAACCACTTAGCCTGTTATCCTTTCTTTCAAGACAATGCAGTGATGGAAAACAGAACTCTGTCAACTCAGACAAACTTTTAATTCCACTTAACTGCATCTGAAAGGTAAATTTCAGTAAATTAATCCAAATTGCTTCCTTTTCACAACACATGGTGCTGAAATACAGTACTTAACTTCATTAAAGAAAAGACTGCTTTTATTTAGAGGAGACCTAGACACCTTTGAAGTCTAACAGGTAAATTGTGGTCAGATGATTTCCCTCCATATGGTACCTTTGAGCTTGAAATTTCCATCACTGGGGCCTTGTTTGTTTAAATTACCCTGTCTGCCTCCCTGGTCAGGACACTGCTCGGGGAGTGCCTCCTGATGCTCATGGGGAGGGGGATCACTGCCTCCTCCAGCCTGTACAGCCAAGGAAGCAGTGTCACCTTTGCATTTATTTGCCCTGTGTTCAACCAGGGATGAGGACACAGCTTCAGGACTTCTCTATCTTGCAGGGCATGGCATACAAATATCTACAGTCAGCAGAAGGACTTCAGGGTTTGTCAGTTTGGGTGCAAGAGCTTTCTGTGATATGGAGTGGCTCC